GYWKTMWSARWYAKRWMTWKGWYWACGCCTCAACTYTGGAGGAAATGACATTTCCGAGAGTTAAAATTTCAAAAGTTTCCAGGGGGAATACCCCAGACACCCCAGTACCTCCTCTCTTCAGCAGCTGCTAGCCCCCTCAAACAAAWTCCRCAGTCCCTGTAGAATGAGATCATTCAACACCTGGAATAAAGATTTACCTGTTGATGTGTGATAGGCAAAAAATAGAATAATGCAATTATAGTGTATTCGTGTAATATCTACTGGTATTTCATGGGTATCTCTGATAAAATGTAGGTTACATTAAAATAATTTTTTTCTGTTGAAGCCTGGAAGCATGTTAGAAAGCAGGTCTTCAACAGCTTCACATAGACTCCAAACCAAAGGTAAGCATGACAGACAGMTGGATAAACATTATTTCTGTAACATTTAATGTAACATATTAATATATATATTTACAGGTCCAGCAAGTACTTCATTCTCCAATGGACATTACCGGCCGTCAACAACACTGGGAAAGACTTTAACAGAGACAAAAGGAGACAGGTAATGTACACATTTTCAGCAAATACTGAACTTTTCCTCCAGTAACCCTTTAATCTGTCAGAGTATTACAGTAGAAAACGTACTCTGCGAACAGAGGTACTTTTCTCACCCGCCGAGAAGCGAGAGAAAAATAATGTTATTTTTCTCTCGCTTCTCGGCGGGTGAGAAAAGTACCTCTGTTCGCAGAGTATAGAAAACGTTGCATCGCGACTTCAATGTTCAAAAGAAATCGTTAGGATTTAGATTTTTCTGTGACTTTGAGCCARAGCTTGCTGCAAATCAGAATGATTAGCTTGAATCTTTTCTATTGTTCCAGGATGAGCGTGATAAACATTTATCTGAGGAACCTTTCAAGTCTGAGGCAAGGTCAAGGTAAGATTACATCAGGGTGATTGTTGTTTTGAATATATTAGGAGACACAGACCAATATGCAGGTTCAATCTCAAACACAGCTTTTTATACCCTTTCATTGATTGCAATACTGTAAGTTTATATTTCTAAGATTCACACAAGCAACATAATAGGGCCGCATTGAATGTTTAATAAAAGCATAAGAATAAAAGGAACATAAGCATAAGGAATGTTTTAGTTTTGTTATGCCTTTACGTTTGTGCTTATGCAGTTAAAGTCAATCCCATTAAAGTTGTTCAGTTGTGAAGACACGCATAAAGGCAACAACAACCTCATTAACGTTTCGGAACTTGAAGTTGGATAATTTTGCAAAAATACAAAATGTGATTAAATTGCATTACAGTGTATATACAAATGACTTGGTTGTTGTCTTTATGCCTTTGTAAATGAACAACGCTAATGGGATTGACTGAATTCACTTTTGTAAAACAGGAATGTCACTTGGTAGACTTGGCAGAACTAGGGTTTATCAAAGTGGCTTGTAAACTCAAGTCAAGTGTAGAATCGAAGCTCAAGTACATTATATCATTCTAAAGTACTTTCTTATTTACAGAAGACCGATTTCTTGATTCAGAGAAAAAAGGCGARGWTAATGACACCGGAAGTCTGTACTCTGATGACTTCAACCTTGATAAATCAAGCGGTCCAGCAAGCCTTATCCATGATGATGAAGATCTCAAAGATGGCTCTMTTGACTTGGATAAAACCTTAGTTAAGGAATCCCCTCTCAGGGAATCCCCACTTAGGGAATCCCCACCCAGGGAATCCCCACTCAGAGATAGTATCGACATTGAACAAAACCTTGAAAACGTRAGTGTATGTCCAAAGAGCTYATTTTTATTAGCCATTAATRTYKWMTAWTAT